TGGAACTAGGAATTTTGATACTATCCTGAACGAACCCCATTAAAATGACAATTCTTTAATGAATAAAATCCCATGAGAGGGATTTTCGCACTCCGTTATTGTCAGCAGTATTAACCTTACATCGAGGGATTGCTGATGACATTATGATTAACCTTACACATAAAGGCAACTCCCTGAATGCAAACTCAGAGTTCTAAGCCATGCCACATGAATGCTTCCCACTCAAGGCTTTGTTAACAGGATTCCCAAGCGCACCGCCAGCCTGCCGCTGCTGTACATTGGTAAAGCATACAGACACACAAGTAAAAGTTTGTTGTTATCCAAGCCAAGAAGCAGGTGAAGAAGTCAAATTGTTTTCAGTCCTTTTAAACAGCACAAACTGGTCTGCATTAAAAAGCAAAATCTGAAGCCAGATGATGCTTAGCCTTGTTTTGCAAACCATTCTTTCCTTTTAGGTCACACACTAGATGAAGAGTACGTTCTACACAATCTGTGCAACTGGTTCTTGGGGGAGGAGGTTGTTTGTGTGAGGAAGCTGCAGAACCCTAAGGATCTGCATTTCCCCCCTGCTGTTCTGGATATTATCCTTCTGGCTAAGGACAGAAACAACCACAACCTCTTTTGCCCATTACCTTCATCCTCACCTGTACCCCAGTCAGACACAGGCGTTCCCATTCATTGGCCAGAGACACTTTCTCTGCAGCACTACCAGCTCCTGCTGACTCAAGGAGCAAAAGTACATGTCACACTGTACACAGGTCTGCCACACGGTGGGGCAGAGCACCACAAAAGGCTAATTAAATCGAGCTCATTGGCAGTTTTCAATTGAAAATGCAATTTCTGCAAAATCAAATTTTTTTGTGGAAAAATCTAAACAAAATATTTTGTTTTGGGTCACTTCAACATCAAATTGGTGTTTGCTGGAGTTGTTGCAGTGCATCATGAGAGCTTTAGTGCAGGCACCTTATGCTCTCCATTTTCCTCTATTGGCCAGGCTCCCTGGCAGGACTACAGCTCCCAAGATGCACTGCAGTCTGTCCTCTAGTTGAATCATCACAATGCATCATGGGAGACCAGCTTTACTTATTAATAGGATTTCACAGCAATTCTATTGTCCTTGATTCTTCATCAGGTTAAACTTCAGACACACTGCAGCAGTTTACCCAAGGATTTGACTCCAAAGCCACACGCATGTGATACACTGGAGGCGATGCAGAATTAGGCCGTAAAATAGTTAAGGCATCTAATTGTCTCCTTGAAAATAAGGACAGACACCTTAAACTTGACTTAATATTCTTTGAGAAGTGTCAATATAGAACAGAGGACAGTTTTGAGGTGCTTGTGAGAGTCTGAGTTGCTGAGGAGACATGCTGCAGCGTTCTGTACTTGTTGGAGTTTCCTAATTGCTGATGGCTTCATGCCCAGATATATCGCATTGCTGTAATCCAGCCAAGAAGTGACTAAGGCATGAATAACTGAGGCCAGGTTATCATTCTCCAGGATGGGACAGACTCTCTTAGCCAACTAGATGGTATTAAGTGTTACTCTCAGATGCTGCTATGCAAGAATTTAGTTTCAGCAAGGAATACAGGAGTACTCTTAAACTATGGACTGAATTGACCAATTGTGGGTGTGACCCTTCAGCTAAAGTTGACTGCATTGTGGCTGCAAACCTCTTCAGAATGCTTTCATATGCCCACCAGCATCACCTCTGTCTTGTTGTGGCTCAGCTTCAACCAGCGGTTCTTCATCAATAAGCTGATCTCATCCTAAAGCATGGGGCTGTCTTGGTGGTACTGGTGTGGTCATACATGGTGAAAGATAAGGAGTTATATGCTATCTGCATACTGTTGGCTCTGCGGTGCATATCATCTGATCAGTTCATTTAAGGGATGCATGCAAACAGGATCTGTTGTAATGACTGGGCCTACCCATTTGCCCTAATTGTGAGTTCTACTGTAAGGAGTGAACGAACATTTAGTAAATGACACAATGACTTATAACAATACATTTTGATGGGAAAAAGTACAAAAGGGAGACAAAGAAACTTAATTAGCCTATACAAGAAGGCCTACAGATATAATTCAAGGACTGCGTTAAGACCATGCCTGGTAAACCAGAGAAGCATGGGACCAGAAATTAACGGATCAAAATTGGTGTGTCAGAAGCTAGGCCTTACTGATGAACAAAACAATGAGAGGATGGGCTATCCTGCCCATCATTCCCTTTTGGGATCCTCAGAAAGATATTTTGGAGGGAAAAGTTGGCTACCATGACACTGGCTGACTGAAAAGAGGAGGAGGAATGAGCGTCACCATCATGGCTGCCACCCCCACCATTTCCTGGGACCCTGGACCTTTGTTCTAATCTTGAGAGATGTTCTGACCACTCCAGGCCAGAAAGAGGGAGCCAGATGAGCACTGCTCCGGCTAATTCCTGAACACCAGCTGGGACTGACACTATGACAACAATGCAAAATAAAAGAACCACTGTAGCAAGTCTCAGAGACCAGGTTAACTGACTTGGGCTTGTGGGGCTCATGCTACAGAGCTAAAATATTAGTGTGAATGTTTGGGCTTGGACTACAGGCTCTGAGATCCACCCCCTCACCAGTTTCAAAGCCCAGGCTCCAGAACTTCTACACTGCTATTTTTAGCCTTGTAGCACAAACCTTGAGAGGCTGAGTCAGTTGACCTGGGCTTTGAGACTCACTGCTACGGACTCATGGACTTTAAGTTCAGAAAGGAGTACTGTGATCATCTCGTCTGACCTCCTGCATATTGCAGGCCACAGACCTCACCCACCCACTCCTGTAATAGACCCCTAACCTCTGGCTGAGTTACTTAAGTCCTCAAATCATGATCCGCCTTTTACACTAGTTTAAACCTGCAAGTGCAGAGGAAGGTAAACCCTCCCCCCCACCAGGTTCTCTGCCAAACCAGCTCCAGGGCAAAATTCCTTACTGACCCCAAATATGGCGATCAGTTAGACCCTGAGTATTGGAGAGGACCCACCAGCCAGACACCTGGGAAAGAATTCTCTGTAGTAACTCAGAGCCCTCTCCATCTAGTGTCCCGTCTCCAGTCGTGGGGGATTTTTGCTACAGGCAGTAGCCAATGGGCTATTTTTGCAATACCCTTTAGTTCCCCATCCCTGGCTCTCTCTTCCAGTGGGTTCTTTTCCTTCCCCAATTTCTTTCTTCTCTTTCCTATCCTTCTCCTTCTTCCTTCTGCCTATTACAAGTCTAGCTTAGCTGGCCAAGACTGCAAATTTTGCAACATTACTGCAAGCCTGTGACCAAAAAGACAGCTAAAACAAATGCCCGAAACAGTCCGATACCAGTACAAGTTTGCCAGGTCTCGAAGTGCATAATAAGACCGGGTGCTGTGTCTGTCTTTCTCCAGCAGCAAACTTGCAAGTGAAAGTTAACATCAGAGACAGAAGTTGCATTTTCTGTCTTTGCTGTTCTTTTTTCTCCCCTTTCGTGTGTGTTTGTCTTCTTTTGCCTTCTAGGAGACTGGACTAGACTTTAACAGCAGCAGCAGCAGTTCCAGCCCATCTCAATTACCTTCTTTTTTCCCCACAAAAGGACAGTTACCACTGTCTTTAACACCACTGTCAGACAAGGATTTTTCCCCTCTAAAGACTCTCTACAGCTAACAGAAAAAGGAACATGGGATGGTGTTAAATGAAATAGTTATTTAATGCTTTACATTTCAAATGCTTTTTCTTTCTGTTTTTCTTTCTTGTATCTTTAATAAAAGGTTAAAGAGGATTTCTAATAATGTTTTTGCCATGGTATTAAGCAGGCTGAGGTCTCTGTGTACCCAACCCTGAACCTTGTTTAAAACTGTTTAATGTTGGACAATACCAGGATCATGTTAACATTTTTGACTATTTGGGCACCTTTATTTCATCTAAATTAATACAACAGATCCTTGCTTTACCCCGGTCCATTGGGTTCCTTATAATCTTTGAGATTATTTGTTTATTAGACAATTCTGCTTTAAGAAACCTTTGAAAGAATCATCTAATTAAAAAAAAGCCAGATAAGGCAAGTGACACAGTGCTACCTGGGGCACTACAATAAGCTCAGCCTTATCAAACCAGTCAGCAATGGGCTACAAACACAGTACCAAGTGTGTACTGGGGACAGGGCTGGGATTATATTACTACTGTGTAAAACCTTAATAAGGGATGGGCTAACAGGTTGGAGAACATTACAAACTGGTCCAAACTTCTGCCTGTCTCCCTAACAATTCTGACAGGTTTAGAACATGTGCCTTCCTCCATGCTTCAACTCCCACCATACCCACAATTAACTTCCTCCCTCCTTCCCCGCCCCCAACTCTCCAACCAAGGGAGAAGCAGACACATTTGTCTATAATCAGATTCCCGTCACCGGCTCACCCATTCTCAACTCCACGAGTGAAAAGAGTGAAGGCAGAGCTGGTGCTAGGGAGGCGAGAACAGTGCCAGGCAATGCTTAGTGCCCCAGAGCCATCAGAGCTCTAGGGCTCGAGGCATCAGCTGTAAACTAAAGTTTTCTTTTGTAGAGCCTCAAGAGGATGCAGAGCATTTGAGGGGTGGATGAACATTGGATGTTTCTTGGGGTGGGCAGAGCAGGAGAGGAAATGAAGAAACTGGACCCTGTTAGAGATACTTGCACTTCCTCTAAATGTACGTGTTAGGCCAGCAGTGAGCAAACATTAGGTAATCTCTATGTTCACAAACCAACAGGACTCCATGGTTTTGCAGCAGTGACCCGAGAGGACTAACAGGCACATCTGTCTCTAGAGCGTGTGCTGATTTATTCAGGGGAGGCTGTTTACTGGTGACCTCATTCTATTTTTCTGCCTAGGTCTGCTGTTGGTTTCTCTAGCCCTATGGCCAAGCAGTTCCATTTTAAGAACACTCCTGTGCTCAGGAGGCCTCCACAGCTCTTTCCTGTTCCCATTTGCCTCATCCTACAGCGGAGGATAGGAAATCACTCTACTCACAGCTCGAGGATAAGGACCATATCTGTCCTGTTCTCATAGACGTCGTGCAGCTTGATGATGTTGGCATGCAGGATCTGCTGCAGAATGTTCACCTCCCGCTCAATTTCCTCACGTCTCACCCCCCGGCGGCTGGCCCGGCTCTGACGCTTCTTAATGAATTTGGCAGCATATTCCACTCCAGTGCTTTTCTCTCTGCATTTCTTCACTATTGCAAACTGGCCACTGTAAGGACAAAGTTATAACAGCAATTACACTAAAAGCTTTCACAAATCCCATGGGCAATACCATGAAGCTCCCAGAATTAGCTTGCATAGACAGGGTCTGAACCTGCAAATCCTTTGGTGAATAACCCTTATTCTTACTAAAAAGAAAAGGAGTACTTGTGGCACCTTAGAGACTAACAAATTTATCTGAGCATAAACTTCCATGAGCTACAGCTCACTTCATCGGAAGCTCACGAAAGCTCATGCTCAAATAAATTTGTTAGTCTCTAAGGTGCCACAAGTACTCCTTTTCTTTTTGTGAATACAGACTAACACGGCTGCTACTCTGAATCCTTATTCTTACTGCTACAGTAACAATTTTCAGGATTGGGTTAATAAATTGTACGTTCTGCATTCACCATATTTTAATGCAGTGCTTTAGACCATGCAAAACAAAGTAACCTGTCTGAATGGAAGGGAGGGTCCTAGATACAATCATCAAAGAAATTTTTTAAATCATCAAGGTCTGAGAGCTCAAGTCATCAAAAACTAGAAAATTTAAAGTGAGTCCAAACTGCCCTTCATTTGCTAAGTGAAGTTCAGGAACTGAAGTACACAAAATACAGAATGCCGTCTGATGCTCTGGAGGGGTAGATAATACCTACTACACACATTTGCGTCAGACCTGTAGGGTGTAATTTTCAGAAGGCTCAAAGAGTACATCAGCCTTTGTAATTGGAAAGTTAGAGACAAGTGCCCAGTTTGCATGTACAAGTGCAAGTTTGTGTGTGGAAGATGCTGGTCCACACACATTATTGCACTCGGCTTGAAAATCTGGCTCTCAATGTTATTTGAAACTATGCAAGTTTCTTAATGTCAGTTTAAACTAAGAAGAATGTTTCCCTAATACTTAGCAGGACAATAGTCTAATTCACTGCATCAAACTTTTAAACGGCAGGCAATTGTTTGCAGTTGCAAGCAGACTTTTCCTGACAGCAGCTGCTAGATGTAGAGGTCATCATTCCAGTCCCAAATTTAATATTTTCTCCCATCCCATAAAAAGGAAACACTTGGAGATCAGATCACTAATACAGAGTATAATGTCCTACATGTTTCAGTCTCATTTACATGATGGGAGCCTTGTGAAATGAGACATTTCCTTTAACAGGAAAGGGCAGGGGAACTCCTCATTTTAACCTGCATGAGGTCATTATCACCGACTCAGTTCCTCAGTTAGCTCCCGCAAGACGCATTGTTAGACAACAGAGCTGCCACTTTGGGTGCACAGCTGATAGTAGTTCCATTTCGTTTCTCTTTATGAGAGCTTCTCATAACTGGACAAAGTGAAAGATCATGTCCAAGGCAGGAATATTGCACAAGATGGAGGGGTTATTCATGTGACTCTCTGACCAGTTCAGTTCTAACAACTTATTCTGGACAAAGAAATCAGTGGTGTGTGAGTATGCGTGTGTGTATATATATATATATATGCTTAGCCATGCAAAAAACATAATAAGTTTACAAAGCAGGATAGGAAGGCAAGGGGATAGCCTTGGACTATGCAGTTAGTCTGTACAGGACATGTACATAAGCCACTGATGTTTACTCAAAGTTTTTTAATAGAGAAACATAGAAGGAGGATGGTCTTGTGGTTAAGCCAATGGAGGGACTCCGGAGATCCAAGTTCAATTCTCGGCTATACCACAGATTTCCTGTATTACCCTGGTCAAATCACTTAATCTTTCTATGCCTCAGTTTCCCCATCAATAAATGGGAATTACACTTATTTTCTCCTACTTGTCTTCTCTATTTAGATTTTATGCATTTAGTGCAGGAACTCTCTCAATATGTGTTTTACAGTGTTTCACACAAAGGGGTCTTGACTTCATTTGGGTGCTACCAAAATAGAATTATTATTCATAATCTATAGATGTTTCCAGGAGTGTCACTCCAAAGCCTAGAATGCCTGTTGAATCAGTGTGAAGCAATGGAAACAGCTACAAGCATGGCTGAGAGCTTTTTGTTTAGAATATCACCAGGGTCAATCGTCACTGGGACTCTCAGACTGTTACTATTCAATTTTTAATTTCTCAGCTCCCCCCCCCCCCCTTTTTTTTTTTTTTTTTTTTACATTTTACAAATTCCACCCGTTCAGCACCATGGGCTTTCACCTAGCAACAATAATAAATGACATTTGGCAAGCTAGCAAGATTCCTCTTAAAATCAGCTGCCTTTAATTACTAACACGGCTTATGTAGGATGTAGCAGACTGTCACTTCAACTGGATCTGAAAAACAGACTAAAAAATGTGCTGTGACAAAAATGGGTTGCTTTTAACCAAGGATAACGTAGGGGATTTAAATGGAAATGCTTATTACTTATTATTATTTGGCTTGATGGAAATTTGCACTATTCATAGTAAGCAGAGAAAGCAGCAAGCAAGCACATGTGTATGAGCATATGTTAACCTTGTGCACAAAACCATGGTTGATAGATAGGTCTGTGAAAAATATTAACAACAACATCATCTGAAACCAAGTGAACCTTGCCCAACTTTAGGTTTCATTACAAACTTCAAATTCAGACAGGTTCATCAAAAGGGTCCCTGAAGTTCACAAGCCTGGCCAGATTTAAGGTTCCACACAAAATTTGTGCAAAGTTGTTTAGTTTGGATACAAATCTCTCACATTTTAGGTTCTTTCACTCAGATTTTGTGAAACCAAAACTCAAAGCTGAACTTGGGGCAGGAGGGGGAAGAAAGAGCAGGATAAAGCCAGATAAAATGCTGGCACAAACCTCTGCCAACCAAAAGGACGAGGATTCACACAGCTCTTCTAGCCAGTACCAGTAACTCTGTTTAAATTACAGTGCTAAATAGGTATCATTTCACCAGATTCAGATATACCTCCATATGAGGCTGCAGGGAATTCAGCCACAATTAGAAAGAGGAAGTGGTCAGTCTACTCCACTCATCGTGAGTTTAATTTGTTTACTGGCATCACTTAGTTCAGCAGAGAGTTAAGTTTTCTATACTGGTGAAAATGCTGATCTTTTATACAAATCGACAACACCTAAACAAAGTTCTTTTATAACTATTAAATAGGCCATCTCAGGGTCTTCTCCAAGATGATGGTGCTTTCAGGAATATTTATTGATCTTTTCATTATCTGCAACACATTGCTGTTACATGGAGACCTGGTGAGACAATGCAATCATGTGGAAAGTACAGGATAAAATTCACTTCCCAGTATTAGCAGCTACCTTTTGTTACATAATTGCATCCCCACTGGAATTCACAAAATATTGATACTGATTTATGGCTGGGGGAAAAGTAGAATGAATGTTTAGACAACGTGCTGTTGTATATGTGCTGGGATATTGACAAATGAACCCCATTATAGGGATACAAAATATTAAGCCACCTGAGGCTTGGATCTGTGGTTAACATCAAAGGCTTGGTGTTCCATCCAAGCACAAGAGGCATAAAAAATGGTGACTTGTATAGAAAGCAGAGTCGGTTGGAACATTTTTGGCAAAACTAAGTTTTAAAATCTTGAAAGTTCCTATGAAACAGAATTGTTATCCTCAGGTCCAGTCAGCTCTAATAGTGTGTGCAGGGGGAACCTGATCCTGCATTAATGAGAGCACTTCTGTGAAGACAAAATAATTACTCATGCTTAATAGACTACAGAGGAGTTCAGAGCTATGGTCTCATTAATAAGAGGAGGATCAAGCTTAAACCTGTATCTCTTCAGAAACTCCCACTCTCTGCTCGTGCCCTGCCCCATTTTCATACTGTGTACTTGCAAGAGAAGGGATGCAAGATTTCATACTGCACAGAATAAAAGACAATGCCCAGCACTTCACTTCACTTATACCCATGAGCAGCATCCACTCCCCCTTGTGCTGGCACACTATAACTTTGAGCAACCCACTGATCACAAATGGGTAGGATCCTGGCCCAAATGTATTTGTTCAATATCAGGTATATCCTCATTCAGGGCACTATATCCCAAGCTTGCAGGTAGTTCCATAGTTTCTACTATGAGCTTACAGACTACGCTCTATGCAAGGATCTCCTGATAACAATCACAAACATACTCATTAAATGCAGGTTTCAGAGTAGCAGCCGTGTTAGTCTATATTTGCAAAAAGAAATGGAGTACTAGGGGCACCTGAGAGACTAACCAATTTATTTGAGCATAAGCTTTCATGAGCTACAGCTCACTTCATCGGATGCATAAAGTGGAAAATACAGTGAGGAGATTTATATACACACAGAACATGAAAAAATGGGTGTTATCATGCACACTGTAAGGAGAGTGATCACTTAAGATGAGCTATTACCAGTGGGAAGAGGGGGAGAAAACCTTTTGTAGTGATAATCAAGGTGGGCCATTTCCAGCAGTTAACAAGAACATCTGAGGAACAGTGTGTGTGTGTGTGTGTAAATAAACAAGGGGAAATAGTTTTACTTTGTGTAATGACTCAATCACTCCCAGTCTCTATTCAAGCCTAAGTTAATTGTATCCAATTTGCAAATTAATTCCAATTCAGCAGTCTCTCATTGGAGTCTGTTTCTGAAGTCTTTTTGTTGAAGAATAGCCACTTTTAGGTCAGAAATCGAGTGACCAGAGAGACTGAAGTGTTCTCCGACTGGTTTATGAATGCAAACACCTAAGATTACAGGCTTTCACTTACATTGGAGAAGCCATGAGCTGCAGTGATTTTCAACATTATTATATTCTTCACTGGCTTGTATGCAAGTGCAGTTGGGAATATAAATTATGCACACTGCATCACAGTCTGCAATCACACACTGCAATTGTATTCACTACCTGATAATGAAACACTCTAAGAACCTTACATAATTAACACAGAAACAGCTATTTGGAGTCAGTCTTAAATCTACAAAAGGCAAGGAAACCAAGAGTTAAAACCTTCCCTTGACCCTAGCTTGCCCTGGAATGCCTCGGTAGTATGGGGTAAAATCTCACTCACTAATTTCAGATTCTTATA